AGAGAGAGAGAGAAACGAGGAAAAAAAAATGAATGACTTTTGCTAGGAAAAGATAAAAAGATGTACATTATTAAATAAAACAATAAAAAAATATATATAAATAAAAATAAAATTCGAAAGCATTTAAAAAGCGTCGTCAGATTTATGAGCAAAACTCTTTTAAGATTTCTGTTAATTTTCTTTTTAAAATTTCTGACTTTCTTTCGGTAATATAATCGAGATTATTAATCTCTGTCATTTTAATATAATCATAGTTATTCGTCTGATGACATATTTATATGTATATGACATAAAAAAAAAAAAAAAAGAAAAAAGAACAAAAAATACCCTGCCTACATTTTGCAACGTTGACATATAAAAATTTACTTGAATGATAAATTGCAATGATGAATGTCCTCTTGTAATATGAATACATATTTACATACACACAAAAGTAAATATATTTTTTGTTGGTCATATTTTTTTTTTGATATTTTTCTTATCACGTAAAGTATGTGTATGTATGTATGTATGTAAGTATGTATGTATGTGTGTTGTTGGGATCGGTGTGTGTTCTCTCTTATTTAATTTGTATGTATGTATGTATGGACAAGTTGATAATTAATATAAGAAAAAGAAACAGAAAAAGAAAAAAAAAAAGAAAAAGAAATATAAGAAGGAGAGAATAAAAAAAACGCGTCTTTACGTAAGATTTCATTACGAATGGATGTGTGGTGTGTGAAAATACATGCACGTGTTAATTTTAGTCTTCCCGTTTTACGTGAATAATCCGTTGAATTTCTTTATTGCGATCGATATTGAAAAATGTAAATTATTATTTTTTTCGTGGATATATAGAGAGAATATTTCTTAATATGAGATGAAAATAATATTTGAAAGAATATTTTATAAAAGTAATTAAAGACGGGAAAATAAAAAAAAAAAAAATAAAAAAAAAGGAAAAGAAAAAAAGTACCAATTGCATCCATCTCTTAAAAATGTTCTTACACTTTCTACATAGACACATACAAAAAAAAAAAAGAAAAACATTATCCATAAAAATATACGCAAATTATTATTAAATATTGATATAGATAGTAATTAGAACATTCGATCTTTTTCATTGTTACATTTGAGATATTTGTATTAAAAATTATTGAAATCGCTGGATTAATACAACGAGGTGGTGGTTGTGCTGTTAATGATGATGATGATGATGATGATGATGATAACAACAACCGATGGTGATGATGATGATAATGATGATGAAAATAATTGTTACGTTCAGAACTAAAAATTAATTAAAAAAAAAATTAAAATAGGCAGTACGTTTTTTTTTTCTTCCATTTAATTAGACATGATTATAATTATTTATTTAATGTCATTTGATTAAATTGTGGGTTTGCCCTTTTTTTTTTTTTCTTAATTTGAACAAAAAATACGAAGAGTTCCTGTTGGGTGTGAATAATTATCGAGCGTGTAAAGATCGGTACTAATTTTTAATAAATTAAGCTCTGTATTTTTAAATATTATTAAAAATAGATACGAACATTATCGTTTGACATTTGCGTATTATAATGCATCAAAGTAATTCATTATTATTATTATTATTATTATCAATTATTCTTAAACGATGATGATATTTAAGATTTAAATAAATAATCTGTATAAATCTGTGTACAAAAACTTGTATCATAGAAAGAAAAAAAGAAAATTAATATGGCTCTATATGTATATACAGAATTGAATTATGTATATATACACACACTTACCTTCAAAGAAAAAAAGGAAAGAAAGAAAAGAAAAAAAAAAATAACTTAAACAAACAAAAAACAGGATGTGTCGTTTTCAATTTACTCATCCGGGTAAAGTAGAAACGTCATTCCATAATCCATCATCCTTATTTAGATTTATAAAAACATACCATCGAGTTTAATTCCGTTGAAAAGAATTCTTTCATATAAAGGATGTTTCATTTTTCTTTATTTGACCCTGTCAAATTGTATTAGCATATTTGAGAAAAGCATTTATTTTATTAAAACTCCCTGTATATGTGTATGATAATATAGGGTGGTCCATATAAATTGTTTCAAAATAATTATTGATGTTGATTTATTGATATTACAACAAAATATA